TTTTTTTTTTTTTTTTTTTTTAGCAAACTGCACCGAAAAACTGAATCAGATACAGTAAGATATTACTGAAAACAGCCAATGTAATTTTAGAATCCTATTTCTAGATTTTAGCAGCGAGAGCTAAGTAAAACTCATCATGTTTATTTCCCACAGTGCCATTTAAATCCCTGCCCATGACTACAAGTGCTTCTCTGCTAGGTTTCTTGCTCTTTGGGGCTGTCTCCTAAAAACTGGATGGATGGCACTACCAAGAACAGACCAAAGGAAGGAGCTTGAGCCTGTTCATTAACACTTGTATCCTGGCTGTGGATATATTATGGGTGTTGAATTAAGGTTCTCTCGATTTGAAATGTCAGCAAAGGGTAAGGCAAAGGCAAGAACAAGAGTGAAAGGTTACCTTGCCATGCCTGGAAAATGCTTCCTGCATGAGCTGCTGCAGCTCCTTCCGGGATACTCTGTAGTCTATGTTGCTGATCTGGATGTCAGCACCATTTGCAAATGGGTCTGGGCACTTGGCACCAATGCTTGAATTTGCAACACTGAAAGCAAGAGGGGACGCTCTGTTTAAAAGGTTTTGAGACATTCTCTGGCTTAAGACATATTGAGATTATTTTTAAAATGTTATCCTAGTTAGTTTATGTCATTTAGGCTTTGTTTGAAGCTATATACAGACAGAGCTTACCATAATGCAATTTGTTTTTCAAATGTGTTTTTGTCTTCCACATATACTGATTTAGACTTACTGTCAAAAGTACTATCTGTTGACCCCATATTACCAACAAATAAATCATTCTTTCATTGGATAATTTAAAGCTAAAGGCAGAAATTAGAGGTAGACCTAATAAATTAATTTTCCACTTTGGGCATTTATTCTTAGGAAATTAGCTTGTGATACCACTGTAAGTCATTTAACCACCCCCAGCTTTGAAAAAGCTAGATATTCTCGCTCATATGTTACATTTCTTCTCCATGTAATAGAAAAGTTTTGTGTAAATTTTTAAGTGTACTTTTAGAGGTCCAAAGTCACCTTCTATAGTGAGTCTTCACCAACTCAGCAGAATACCTACAATGCTAGGAGGAGCTCCTAGGATGCAACATAGCCTTATGACTCCTTCTGTGTTCCAAGCCTCCAGAATTACTCAGTGTGAGCTTGGAAAGCTTAGATAAGCTAAGTGTTATAGAGATCATTACAGTGGTTTAGAGGTCCTTACTTCCTGTAATTATCCTATGAATAAGAATAACCAATGCATATCTAGTTTGGGCCTTTTCCTCAACATGATGAAGCCATAAGGAAATGGCAAGGACCTCTTCAAGTGCCTCCCATCACTGACCAGGAACTCCAGGAAAGCTTCTTTCTCTGACCTCTGCTTATTGATACCCATGTGGATGAGGGAAAGACGGGGAGAAGCACTGCCCTCAAATGATAGCTAAGATTACCTGGGGAAAGGGTGCTGGCAGAGGAGGGATGAGAGACTTCTCTTTTACTTTATGTATTTCTGTACTGCTTGAATTCTTTTACACAAGCATATTATCCTTTCTACTGCACGTAACCTCCCCATGAATCGAGAAGCTAGACTTACCGAGAAGACCAAGACGGACATGTGAGCAGAGAACCGACCTGCCTGGATGCAATCAACTTGCTAAAAGCAGATGGGTAACTCACTTGGAACAAAGTCTCCTCTTTGTTTTTTTTCTCTACAGGAGAACTGGTAACACTTCGGGCACTGAGGTTCTCTTTTCTAACAGAGGGAAAATCAAAGGTCATTTGTTTTCCTTCACACTGGAGAAGCAACTATGAGAAAGAGTAATTCAACCTACTTCGGATTGGTTTTGTAAACGGGTTCTGCCACCCCGGAGTTTTTCAGTGTGGGTGCTACGACACTTGAGTTTCTGTGAGGAGATGCCACCAGCCTCAGGTTACCCTGCTGGGATTCACTGTTTCTAGTACCAGTCTTTGACTCCATGCGGCACAACTCCTTAAAAGAGATAAGCGCAGAGGAGTTGAAAATTTAAGTACCCAGGGTGTATCAGACCCCATACAGAAATCACGTGACTCTGAGTATCATCAAAAATGGAAATAAAGGAGACGCCAAGAGCAAGCAGGCCTATAAAACACAGAGACAAACCAAGCCTACCATAAACTTCAGAAAGCAAGAGGTACCACAATTACCTGTAAACTT